AATGTCCAACGAAAAACATATTCCTGCCTTGAGTTTACTGAAAAGCGTTGATTGAATGCACACAAAACGTAGATTTTACAGTTTCTTAGGAGACTGTAACTTTGGAAGGCACCAGTATTCGGTTGCCATTTTCTCGCTAACGTTTACCTGTGACACCCGGCGTGTTTTGGGGTGGGTTTTTTTAATTTCTTTTCTTTTTTGGCTTAACAACATTTATTATGTCCATTGAAAAACACATTTCTATTTGGATTTTATTGGAAAACGTTCACTCAATGCACACAAATTGTAAATTTTCAGTATTCAGGGACTCTCAAGCTTTGGAAGCCAATGAATTTTAACAGCCATTTTCGAGCTAGTTTTACGCCTGACAGCAGGTAACTCAAACCGCCTTCAATTGCCATTATCTCTTCTTTGATTCAAGACATATGTGTATTCGTTTCATCAAAAGCAAAGCAAATGACAGGCTCAACAGTTTGCCATCACAAGGTTCATAGAGTAAAAACCCTTGCCATCAAATGCAAAGGCATTTTGGGGGAAGATCCAAAGAAACTGGGTGTTAAGCATCGCCGATCTGCGAGATGTGACGGATGGCATCAACTCTATTACTTCATATGCCCAAAATGTGACCATCACCTGAGCCCATCGTGTCGCTACTCACATGACACGCACAGATGAAAGGAACCACTCATTGTGGTTTGCTTCGTGCTTGAGCGGGATCGTGTGATCTTCGCCAAGGTTGTAAAAGGTGCTGTGTAAAGGTGTATCCGCGGTTTTATGCCAAAATAAAATCTGGAATATGCAAAAATTAGCCCCAAAAATGTGAAATTATGCGATTCTGTTTTAATTTTAACAAGAATGATCAAGGAAAACAGTCAGAAATTACGCAAAAAAGATCAAATTTTGCTAAATTATGCGGGGTGCATAAAATCCGGGGAACAGGTTATGGTTGGCAAACTGGGAGCGCCATTAGCTTAGTTTTTATCATGCTGAACTACGGACAGGGTGGCCCTGGTTTGAATACCAGACAGGGTATTCTGAGCACGAGTTGTGTTATACAGTCATGAAGACTCTCCCATCTTTCATCATCATCCGGTGCATTACCGACTGGCGTGGGGAATCATGGACCTCCACCTGACTTTGTCTTGCGTCGTAGCAATGGTGTCTGTTGTTTTTGCTGCTCCCAGCCATGTTGTCATCTTGTCCACTATCTTTTCCCTCTGACTGCCTCTGCCTTTCTTTCCATCAAACTTGCCTGTTGTTACACTTTTCTCCAATGCTTCTTTCCGCATTGTGTGTCCGAAGAAATTTGCCTAACGCTTTCGTATATTCGATATAAGCTGTCTTCTGCAATTTGCTTCAACCAAGACTTCTTCATTTGTTTTTCTAGCTGTCCATGGGATTTGCAGCATCCTTACTGTCGCCATTTTCCCTCTACTTCTTTTGTTTATTTCTATTATTTGGCACTCTCTTGTAGACAGCTATTTCCGGGGTGCCTTGATAGTCGAAGCAGATTTTGTGCTGTTGAAGCTAGAGAGGTGAGCAGAGTAAGCCTGATTCTCCGTTTTGACTTTTCTGTTGGCATCCACCCCTTGAGGCTCATATGACCTTATGCAGTTGCGATCGCCGTAAAACCTTACTGAAATAAACGAAGACTCTCCATCAATATGAGTCAGTCCTATCGGAGGTGGCCGTTAAATGCCGGGGCACCTGTCTTTTAAATCGCTGTATGGTTTTGAACAAGGCGCTATGTTTAAGCAAATTCGCATTTTATTTTATAGTCGCAAACGAGTATTGTACCATAATGTTACAATCAGGAAACTGAGTATGTATCTAGCTCAACATTATTATTGTTTGTATTACTGTTCATTTATACTATGCATGTGACTATAAGGCTGTTTGTGAATGCACACATACTGCGTGAGTGTACATGTTTGAGTGTGTATGTGTATGTATATATGTGTGTGTGAGTGTGTGTACGTATTGTGCGTGTGTGCATGTGTGTGTTTTTGTGTGTCCGTGGTGAAACACCAAACCAATGTGCCAGGATCAGGATGATAAAGATGTTTCTTACCTTATCGTTTCCAATCGAAATTTAATACAAACCCCTCTTATATTTTATATTCCGTCTTCGTTGAGTTATTAATTACGGTTCCGAAGAAATGAGAGTCGAGAGTATATCCTGCGGCTAACTAAAAAAGAGAGAAAGAGTAGATTACAAAGAGTGACATGAAGAGGTGATGAGGGCTGTAGAAGAGAGTAGAGACGTTCTTTTCTTTTTTTCCTCACGTGAAAGTTCGGGTCAACATCCTTTCTAGATCGAAGAAGCTCGCCCTAGAAATGAATATTGTGACTGTAATTGGTCGCTTTTAAGGACAGGCAGGCTATCATAGATTTGGACGGCGTTCAGGAATCTTGACATACACCAAAATTATATATATAACCACCCCCCCCCCCCCCCCCCCCGGGGCGGTGCAACTGACAGAAGTGTCTTTAGGCCATTCCCAAAGGGGGGACATTTCTCGTTCAAGCACAGTAGAATTGTAAATGGGCTGATTCACAAATGTCACGTTCCTAACTGTGCCTGATCTACAACAGGGAACTGCTGCTTTTTCTTTCCTAATCCTTACTATTGTCATTTGTCCTCTACTTCATTTGAATGTTTGTCACACTCTTGTGACCCACTATTTCCGGGGTGCCTTGATAGTCGAAGCAGACTTTGTGCTGTTGAAGCCAGAGAGGTGAGCAGAGCAAGTCTGATTCCCTGTAAGGACTTCTCTGTTGACACCCACACCTTGGCGTTCACATGAACTTACGCAGTTGCGAGCGCCGAAACACCTCTACTAAAAAGAA